CGATTTTGTTTATGTTTGAGAAGAAAATTCATGAAGTAGCAGTGAACAACACTGCGAACATATTTTCGATAGGAGGTGTTTTATTGCTTTCTAGCCAGCACCTCGCCTGCTGGGGAAGGACGGGGGGGGTGGGGGGGGGGGGGGGGGGGGGGGGGGGGGGGGGGGGGGGGGGGGGGGGGGGGGGGGGGGGGGGGGGGGGGGGGGGGGGGGGGGGGGGGGGGGGGGGGGGGGGGGGGGGGGGGGGGGGGGGGGGGGGGGGGGGGGGGGGGGGGGGGGGGGGGGGGGGGGGGGGGGGGAAAAAAAATGAGAAGTGTATAGTCCATCCTTTCGAAGTGATGTTGCAAGACAAAAAATGAGCCTGTGAACGTCCAGCTTTGTGCCTGAGTCCATGTCATACCTTAACCTGATATTGTTGAAGGCAACACAGCAACGACAACGCATCAAGACTTTTTCTGCAATGTATTTTATTTTCCAATAGCAGTGGGAAAGTAAGTTTGAAATTAGCGCATTGGTTAGAGAATGTTGCAAGTGGTGCATGTCTTCCATCGAGCTGGAACACAGTTTAGCTACACTCTGACGGTGAGAACTCCCGAGCTCGTTTTGCAATAGTGAATACCATGAATACTTCTCTGATCACGTGTGACCTAAAGATGCTGGGTAGCTTCTCCAATTGAAAGGACTGAGAACCTCCCTGTAGGGCTATCAAAGGTTCAGTTGCAATTGGTCTCTGGCCAAATCAATTTTGTTAGGTTTAAAGGAGGAATTCACGATTAGAATGAAGGTCGAAGAAAGGGAAACTGACCTAGTTGAGGGACCCACGGACCTCCTGAGGGTGCGAACTGACGCGCAATTCGCATGGAAAAATTTGACCTCGGCGACCTATCATGCCTCAAAGCTGGCGGGTCCGGCGATCTCCGCCCACCGATCATCTGATCACTCGCCGTAGTTCAATACGTGGCGAGTGATTAGATAGCTGAGAGAGCGTAGTGTTGAAGAGGGCACAGCGATGAGAGTCGCATCAATGCTCAAATCAACGGGCAAGGAAGGGGTCCCATTTCTCGGGTTCTGGGCCGTTTCTCATGGTTCTTCCTTCTTTCGTGTACCACTCACCATCCCTAGGTTAATTTGAAATGGGTTGCTTTTTCATCGTGAATTCGTCCTTTAAAGCGCTCGGCATGGTTGTTAGCGTCTAACACTTCGCAAGGGTGGAACTTCTAATGTACGCGCTGCGTTCAGGCATACTTGGTTTCGTTCCTCTACCGTTTCTCATTGATACACTTCATTTGAATCTGGAGACATCGGACTTGCTGTCCAAGCCCCTGTGGAGGGTTCATTAGCTGCAAAACATAACGAATTCCTTTGGATTCTGGAAGCGAAGAAAGCTTCCGCGATAGAATGATCTGTGCACGTAGCGTAGGGCGTTAACTAAACAATCACCCTACCCTACATGAGCTTATGGCTAGCATTTACCAGAAGTAGCCAAGGAATCACATAGACTAACCCATGGGAAACCGAACCATTTTGCTGCTCTGAGCTCATGTGACAACAAAAAGCAAGAAGCTTTTGATAAGTTTTTCTAGAGCGTGCATCACTTTATTCTCTTATCAGCTGAATCATAATACAGTGGGGGAGTTGGGCTGTGTCGACTGGTCTCAGAATCAAATACTATAGAATCAGCCATGATGGCGAGGGTGGTGGTCAGGGTAGGAAGAAGGTGGTCGTATTGCGGGAGCCTCCTGAGTCTCATGGTGGTGGAGGGGGTCGTGAAGGGTTGACCCTGAGGGGGGTCGTATCGAGGCCTCTAGAAGGGGAAGGGGGTCGTAAAATTTTCGAAATTGGTCCAACGTGCTACTACAAAATGCGGCGACCGGCCGCGTGAATTTCATAGACATGACTAGTAGAGATATGAACTGCATGTTCGGGAACTATTGGGAAACCAACTAACGAAGTGGGGAGCTCGCCGGGTTTGCGATATCTGTATTCTGTGATGACATGTCCCTTTGAACATAGTCTTTGCTATTCCACATGGTGGAGCAATAGGGGAGGGATGAGGGTGGGAAAAGTGGATGGAGGGGAAGCGATCGCTGATAGAACTAACTCTGAAGTCAAGTTCAGTGTTGAAGCACCATTATAACGTGATGATATGATGTAAGGCCCTCCAACTGCAGTACTTTAAACACTCACAGTGACGTTGTCGTCCTGGAGGAGAATTCCAAGGAGCTGGGATTGGGGATGGGATAGCTAAACCAATTGGCCTTCATCTCGAGGTTAAAGTCAGTGGTTGAAATCCACTCTAATGTTACGACTGCTGGGGCAGTCCGCTATACGATACTTTTTATGCATATGCGTGCTCTCCACGAGGTGTTCACCTCAAAAGTGGGAGTGAGCACAACGGAGGCGAATCAGTCAGAAAAGGGAGGCACGGCGCCCGCCGGGACACAACTGAGTTAACACGTTGACGACAAGCTGACGCGCATGCGCGTCAAGAATTTCGCACCGCATCGGACATTCTGACGCGCAAGCGCGTCAAGTCTATGCTACTCACTTTTATCGTGCTTGCGCTCCTTCCTCTCGGGTTTCTTGTATTCATTCTATAGATAATACATTAGCATGACTATAAACCGCTTGGCAGCTAGAGTGGTCAAGTATCTTTTGATTAAGCAAAGATTTTCCGAACGCACAAAACTTTCGTTCCGATTCTTTCTTAATAATACTTTCACTGCCGTCAATATTCTTATGAAAGATTTTAGAGTTAGTTGAAACAAAACTCTGTGAGTTTCAATATATTTGATTTGATGGGAGTACTTAGATATAAATGCTTTTAATTTCATTCGCAGCGAAATGTTTTTTTTTACTTCTTCGTGGTTATTATGCGCTCTTCTAAACGAAAACCTTTTGCTACTTATATACTTAACCTTTGTGCGATCGTCCTTGCCGAAATAGTCCTATGAAATTCAAGTTATTGTGCATTTTTAACAAAAAATAAGCGTAAGTAAGGTGAGGACTGCGCGGTCGCAAAGATCAACCTGTCCCCGAGGTGAAATATGCTTAATGAAGCAGAGCTATTTAAAGGAATCTTCGCGGAAAATTCTTGCATTCTTTCCTAACATGAATGTGTCAGTTGTGATCACTGGAAACAGCACACAAAGTTTCACGCATGAAGATTCGGTTTCCGAAGAGAAACAAACGTACAAAAACTACACTATGGACAATCGAAGGTAAGGGGCGGAGCCAAAGGCGGGGCATGGAAAGAAGTCCGCCTTGGGGCGGCTACGTATCAGGCGACGCAATGAAAGAATCGGGTTAAAGCGTGCGATTTTGGAGAGTAGAGACAATCGATCGATAGTAGAGTGTGAGATGTGAATGCAATAAGTCAAAGGCCAGAAAGAGTTTCTAGTGAAGGCACTCCAAGAACCAAGTGGAAGCATTCCCGTCGCCAGCATTTGTGACAGATGTCCGGCGGTACTTTGAACGCGTAGCAGCCCTTTCGGTTTTTCGAATTTTTACCACCAAAAAAGCAATTTTTCTGTTCTTTTCATTCTTATCGTGGATGATGAGTCTCAAGCCAGTGAATTATGGCTGAAATAGAATCGTGATTTTTCTGTGAAGGACTCTTAAGCTGGAACAAATACCGAACCGTACGAGGCAGTCAGCTTTCTGATAACATACGAAGGGCGAGTTCTGATTAGTCAATTGAAACACCGACTGATCATAAAGGCAAGAGTCAGGAAAAATTTGTGGTAATCGCATCAAATAGAATGTAGGGATGCGAGGTGGTCCATAAGTGGAAAAAGAATATTGTCAAACAGAGAATACGAATTCCTTGTTCTACGCTGCTGAGAGGTCTAATTGTGAGGGGCAGGCAGCGAAGTAAGAAATAATGTTAGTCGCCAAGAGCAGGAGATTTCTCAGTCGAAAGAGCACAGCTGATCAACCGCTACGACACAGGGGAAAATATGCGGTGAGCGGACATGGTTCGATCAGGCGTTGGTGGATCAAAGTCGTAGGCGCTGCGGGCCTTATTGCGTTGTTTGGAAGGTGCTTAGTTGTCGCGATCTCTTTCAAGGTGGCTTAGGTTGTCCTCTACAGTCGCTGACCTAGCACCTACTACATCCCCGGGAGGGACCTCTTCGATGGGCTGGCCGGACTTTTGCCTTCGAAGGACTCGACCACGGAAAAGTCATGGTTCCATCTCACTCATGAAAACACTAACTTGAGACCCGTCACTCACGAAAACAAGGAAAAACAACAAATTGGGTTTTGTTTTGGTAAATATTTCGAAAAACTGGAAGAGATATTACGCGTTCACGTTCCTCGCCGTAATTCTGTCACAAACGCGTAATAATGAACTCCTTTTGCACTTTTCCACCTATGACACCAACAATTTTCTTTTCTGATGCATCCTATTCTTGCGTATTTTTGTCTCTATATTCCCCAAATCCGAGACTTTAATCTAATTCCGTCAATGTGTCGGATAATACATGGCCGCCCATGGCGCCCTCTTCTGATGGCGGATGGTTTCGTTGCTCCGCCCGACACCTACGATCGTCCCCGGGTGTGCACTTCTGTAATTTGTTTTGTACTACGTCAACGGGAATCTTCGTTCGAGTTTGTTGCGTTTCTAGTCTAGTGATCGCTATGTTGCGGTAGGAGATGCTAGATTTTTGTGAACGTTCCATTGGTGAGAAGGATGCAATGAATCAGCTCCGTCTGCTTGAAATGTTCTTAGAGAAGCACAGTCCAAAGAATTTATTTTTGAGGGCAATCACAATAAAAAGATTACAAGTGTGGACTTCCAAGGTTATGGGTCACGTGTGGGATTACTGTTACTGAAATTTCGATTTGAGGCTAACCAACCTGAACTGACGCTGAGACACCATGGCAGTTCACGTTCAAGCACGCGTTGACACGTGTAAATGATGTAACTTGTTGAAGGCAAGCAAGCGCGTGGGGGAGCTGAAGCTTTGAAAGTCGGTGTAGTTTTGTTGCTTATCACAGAAATGTACACTGAGGTCAAAGAGCTCGTAAACTTTTTGGCCAAGTACCTTATAGGGAAAATCCCACGCAGACCGGTGAGTGTTCATTTGAGCTACTTCCAGCACTTTGTAGTTTCCATTGATAATAGTTGAATCACCTGTGCACTATGACATCCACATTAAGACGAATTCACGCTGGAGAAGAGCAACTATTTAAGTGGGTAGTGTTTAGCGATGGTGGGGAGTGGTACACCAAGAAGGAAGTACCATGAGAACGGCGGAAGTTCGGGCCCAGAACCCGAGAAATGGGACCCCTTCCTTGCCCGTTGATTTGAGCATTGATGCGACTATCATCGCTGTGCCCTCTTCAACGCTACGCTCTCTCACCTATCTAATCACTCACCACGTATAGACCTGCGGCGAGTGATCAGATGATCGGTGGGCGTGCACTGACCAGCCGCGGCGGGATTAAACCTTAATAGGTCAACGAGGTCAACTCCTCCTGTGCAAATTGTGCTTCAGTTCGCACACTTAGGAGCTCCGCGGGTCCCTTCCACCAGGTGAATTCTTCCTAATTCGATTTTCCTCTGATCGGCGAATTACGTCTATTCAATTGTATTGAGGTGGTTGCTATACAGTAGGGGTGGGCACGCCGCATTTTTTGAACAAAAATGTATGTAAGTGGGACTGCTGCCCGCTACTATACTGTCACGAGAATCGGGGAATTCGTGAGCCAGGGGAGTGTGAGACCCAATCTAGGGGGGCTGGATTGAGGGCAGTCACTTGACATGCGTGAAAAGCTTGGCGTGCCCACCTGACTTATAGTGAGCCTTGTTGAGCGATATATACCATGATGAAGACTCATTAATTTCACAAGGGAATGATTTGTAGATGGTTTTTTGAAATTGGATTTATGACTTGTATGGGCCTTTCAGGCCAGCCTCACGTGCCAACTTGCCAACTTCCTAATCTGTCGCTTTCGAGAGCACAAGTGGGACTTGAACGACCCGTCGAAAGGTAAGGCCTGTTCTGTATAATAGATATGAAATCTAGCACTAAGAAGTTTTAGTTGAATTTCATCAGATGAACATCATCGTGTCATTCGCTCGAAAGTGAAAGGGTTCACCGATCAGCTGTCATATCCATATCGCTGCAACTGAAATGGGGCTCAGTGCTGAAGAGGTCTTGGAATGCATTCCAGGTACACAGTTTATAGCCAAACTAAACTGAAACTTGAGCCCAAGTAAATTAACACCCTTTGAGTCGTACATTTTGAAATGGCAGTGATTTAAGCTATGTAGCTGAATATTTTTGCTACAGCATTTCACAAAGTTTCAAAGATGGAGCTCCATCTTAGCAAGAGCGAATGCTCCCATCACTAATACCAACTGGTAGCTGTGATTCAAGATTGCTTGACCTTGTCTGGGTTTTGACCAGATGCAAAATTTTGTTATTCGGGCGCTGTAGGTATTATAAGTGCGAGGGAAAGCAACGGTTCCAGGTATTTGCAAGTAAGAGAGTTACCCTTGAAATAATCCTGAAAAGTGGACCGGAAACGCTTAGATGGGCATGCGGCAACGAATAGGCAGTTTCTCCAACAAATCTGTTTTGCCTTGAAGGCAAACCCCGGGATTAGCCCGACTAGTAGGAAGGATACCGCGAGGGAAATTGTAAGGTCCGTACCTACCTAGATCACTCCAGCTTCGTCGCAAAATTGCGCGGTTAGGGCGCTAATCCTTACGGGCCTGCAACCATCGACCCCCGTTCAACGCTTCCCACCCACCGCGAGAGATGGTCAGAGCATTGATGTAGAGATCAGCGTGCTCTCTCAAACGACGTGCTCTCTCGCGTATTTTGTCTTCTTTGATCGCCCTGTCTCGCCATCGTACCACATCCGACCTTATTGAAGGTTAAGGCCTTAATTTCAGCGTTCCCAAAGATTTCTCTTGCTTTCCTTCCACTTTCAGGTCGTTCCGCAGCTAAGCTATCACTACGAAGCGCTCTTAGCACCAGTTTAATCCCGGCTTAAGTGCACAATCGCAGTAACTCGTCCTCCTTCCGACTGACCATATTGTAAAGCTACGTACCATATCTGACGTCTGATTAGGCGTGTCAATGGACTCGACGCGGCGGCCGCTGCCTTGATAGTAGTTGCGCAGATAAGCTGTTTCCAGCATGCTATAGTGATATCCTTCAGTATATGTTAGAAACAGCTTATGCACACATCTATCAAGTGCGGTGACGACCACGTCAAACATACAGGGGTGGCCAAAAAAAGACACTTTGCCCATGGCGCACATCATCGAACTTTTCGTCGCACAGGAACGATGTTAAAGGCATGCCCCAGGATCACATTGGTGTGGCTCTTGCACACGAATGCGAATGTATTGGTGCGAAGTGGGCCGGCAGTAAAGAAAAAAGGAAAAGAATCCGTCGAAAACGCTTAGGTTAAGGGCTCACTCACCTTCCTAATCGGCTGTGCTAAGGGAATGAGAGACTAAGCGCGGAGAGGAGAGT